GAGGCTTATTTCTACTTTTTCTTATTTAATTTGATAGAGCTGCTTTTGGTCATGTTCTCGCAAGTGTTTGCGAAGCGCCGCTTTGCCTCTATTGAATTATTTGAAAGGGCTGAACTGGGTCAAAAATTGAACGATCTTGTTTTGAAAGCTAAAATTAGCAAGTTTATCATAACAAATTTTACAGGTGTTTTTGATGTGGAAACAAACTCACAAACATTATAAGGAAATCGAATTCATGAGCTCAAATTAGTTTTTTGGGAAGCTGATGAGGCTGAGATACTCATTGACGCCTAAAAATGACAAAAAAAAACAGGTACTTGGTTCGGAGCCGAGAAATTTTCATCTGTTTTCACGACACACACTAAAAGTTTTTTGGAGCTTATACCAGAAAATTGGACATAACTTACACACAGCACACCTGCTAATGAGACTCCTGCGCTTAGAATGTAGCAGCATTTTTCAAAATTTTGCTGGAATGGTTCTTTTTTGACTGAATTCAATCATCAGCGCGAAGTTATTCATGAAATTCTAGCCGTTTAACGCCGGACCAAGTAACTGTTAATTCTGTTATTTGTCATTTTAGGCAACATAATGAAACTTATTTAAGCCAATTAATTCGAATCATTAATTAAGCTAGTGAAGACTCTTATAAAGGTCTAGCAGATCTTTTTTCAGGAAAAAGTCTTAAGATGTGCATAAAAGTCTAATAACTACAGCTGTGCATTCATACATATGCATGAATTTAATTTATCAATGCACCCAGGTATATATGCACTTTTTGTGTTCAATTGAAATTCATCTGCTGAAAGTGACGCAGATAGCACTTTCCAAATACGAACGTAGAAATGGTGCAAAAAACGTGAACGATTTCTAGTTTCGAAAGTGGAATTTAGTTTTTAGATTTCCAGCGGAATAAAAACTTTACTTGTTGATCCAGTTTTATCAAGTTTGGATAATTTTTTTTCATAAAAGAGCCAATCATAAATCGTTCTAGAAAATCAATGAGCTTAAAGGGTATCTGATTCTTTGAATCTCGAAAGTTGGGATTTTTTCAACAAAGTGTGTTTTATGTTTACTTGCGTTCATTACTCTTTACTTCGATTGGCTATGTTTTTGTTTGTGAGGTTGTTTTCGCAGCAAGAATACCTGTAAAATTATTTTTGATAAGCTGGTTAATTTAAGCCTTCAAATTAAGATTGTTCATTTTTTGGCCCGGTTAAGCAATTCCAATCAATTTCATCTACCTTTTGTCTAAATTTGAATCCTGTATCTTAAGTAGTTGCTGAGAACAAGATCGTTCAATTTCTCGTTGAAATAAAAAAGTTGCACTTTCTACGTCCCTTAATTGTACTTGTTTCGCGATAAAAAGCAAACCTATATCCAGATCTTTCCCATTTCTAGAGATCTGAACAAAAAAAATAAAGTTCTTTAGAAATTCTTGCAATAACTTGAAAAATGAAGGTTCTTGCTTTGAAATTTTGACTCATCTTGGCGAGAAAAAGAATTTATTATGAAAGCATAAAGTTCGAAACAAAATTCGGCACAATACTGTAAAAATTGAGTTGTCCTTCATTTATTCTACTCAGAGGTTAAATTTGCTAATTAGAAGGGAGTTATAATCAGAAAAAAAACGTTTTCCGAAAGTGTAACACAAAAATGACCAATTTACTTGAATATTTGTACTCTGGTGCTGCATATTTGTATGACAAGTTGTATAATTTCTGCAAAGCAGGATATTTAGAAACGGAAGAGAGATTTTTTCTGAAATCTCTTCGGACCGCCTCGAACAGTTCTCCCAAAGCTAGTTCAAATGTCAAAATTTGCATCAATGAACTGTTGCCGAAAACTCTGTCGCCAAATTCTTTGCTCTGATCATTTTCCTGGTTCAAATCGCATAAGACCAAATTTGGAAAATTCACAGATTTCGCACGCTCGTAGATAATTTCAACAGAAGTTGGTTTGTTGATCAAAATATCGATTATTAGGCTCATTTGTAAGTAGCAGCAAGATAACACGAAACATGCAAATATGAAGGCCCAAATTTTCCGAGCGATAAAACTTCTCTCTGAAACTACAATGAAATGATTAACAGCATGAAGAGAAGCGGCGTGAGCCCAATCAATGATAGGCTCCATTGAAGAAAAAAAATTCAGCAAATTATCCAACAAAAATAACCAAAACTGAATTTTTTCTTTTAAACTGATTCCCAAGTTTGTAGAATATAAACAATTTGTACCACTTTGATGCAGATTTTCGATAAAAGTTACGCGCAAATACTAAAATTTGGGAATATTGAGCGTAAAAATATTACAAAAAGTACTATCGGCGAAAAAAAAGAGTTAATTTGACTTTATTTCTAAAAATGAAACGGCATAATTTCAAAAACGCGAGGAACTACTTATTAAACATGCAAGTAACTACTTATTAAACATGCGGTGTTTTTTGTTCTACTTAGCAAAATAATCACGGATTCTTTCTAATGCAATAGATTCGATTTAAACAGCTGTGAAAGGGTTTCCGAGAGATTGTTGAATCTTTGCTACCTCGCTATAAATGCTTCCATTTTTGAGAATCAATATTCAATGGCAGATGGTTTGATCAGTTTTTACGGTTGTTTCAGCAAAAAAAAATTTAATTTTAGTTTAGAGCGGAAATGTTGGTATTGAGTTGATTTCCTTTCTTCTTCAAACTCAATATAAATATTCAGAAACATGCTATCAAGTGGCAGTTAACTGACATAGTAATAAAACCCTAATAATACATTTGAGCGTCAAAGTATAAACTGTTTTGCATGTTTTGTTAGGCTTTAACTTGAAACTAATTGGTTGATATTTAAAATGATAAGCGATTTGTGGAAAGTCATTATATAATGGAACCTCAGAAATCTCCGGGAAAAAATACTCAAAGAAATATATCTAAATTATACAGCTCATATCAGGGTCAGATTTTTTCCGACTACCATTTAAGTTAGTATACAGCAAAAGAAAATTTGATTGAAATTTTTTAATGTTATGAATTTTCTGACCTTACAAGACATATCAATGTTGATTATAGGACTAAACAGCTTGTCTCTATTCGCGCCTAGCGATTGAGAATTATAAAGGTTCAACATGACTGCTCGTATCAGGATGATGCCCTAAATGTTCTGGTTTACCTTTAACGTCTATGAAGTAGTGTTCGATTTCGACGGTATTAAAAAGTTCAATCATAAATGGCTTGTTAAGAAAAAAATGTCTGGAGAAAAAACCACCCACAGCATAACTATTCCGTCCTTTTCTTCAAAAGTCAAAAGAGGCATGTAAAAATTAGTCCTTTAATTTGATTGGCGGTTATGATTTACATATTAGATAATTATCAAGTCTGCTTGTATCATGGCGTAGTCCTAAGTGTTTCAGACTGCCCTTAACGTCTATGACATAGCTTTTAAATGTGAAATAATGAAGTGATTTTCACTTATGATGGATTTTTTGTTGTTAATTTTTTTTTCAGGAAAAGTTTGTTCACATTCAAATTTGATCTTTCGCGGTTTGATTTATGAGTTCTGTTCAAGTTCACTTTGGCTCCTTTCTTAAATGAAGGCAAACTCAAGGAAATTATCGAACAGTAAAAGTGAAAGGTCTCAAAAAAAAAACGTGAATGATTTCCAGTTTCAAATATGGACTTTGATTTTCTGAACTCCTAGCGGAATAAAACGGAATAAAAGCCACCTATTGATTTAGGTTTTTCTAAATTGGATAACGTTACAAAAAAAGTGCAAATCATAAACACCGTTTCAATATCGAAGAGTTCCAACGTGGTATATTTTTTTCCAAATTTTGAAAAATGTTTTAAAAATTTTCTATAACTTTTTCGATTTCCGTGTTTTTATAAACTTTTCCAACTCTATGTTGGTTATGCTTGGTTTTACAAAATTCTACAAAGAAAGCTTGTAGTAATGCATTAATTGAATCCAAATCGGTTATCTTAATTAGCTTTGGAAATCCTTTCACCTTCATTTGCTGACGAATGCGAAATAGGTTCTACCTTATCAAAACAAAAGTGTACTAAGCGTGAATGACGTTTAGTTTCAAAAGTTGATTTCATTTTTAGGCTCACCAGAAGCATAAAAAATTAAGAGTCGACGAACGTAGTTCAGACTCTTATATAGGTCGCGATGATTTTTTTCTTAATTTTTTTTCAGGAAAAATCAGGCTCAAATTTACTACAGGCTCAAGTTCACTTTGTTCAGGCTTAAATTATTCTTTTTTTTGCCGTTTGACTTTTGGTTTTTTTAAGTTTAGTTCAATTCCTTTGTTAAAAGGAAGGGAAACTTCACTATCGAATAACAAAAGTGTAAAGGTGAGGAAAAATGTGATCGACTTCTAGTTTCGGAAGTGGAACTTAATTTTCAGATTTAAGCGACATAAAGTTTACTTTTTGATACAATTATCTCAATTCTGAAATTCACCTGCTGAAAGTTAAGTAAATAGCACTCTCCGGATACGAACGTGGAAATGGCGCAAAAAAAACGTGAACGATTTCTAGTTTCGAAAGTGGAATTGAGTTTTTAGATTTCCAGCGGAAAAAAACTTTACCTATTGATATAGTTTTCTTTAAGTGGGTTAGTTTTGTCAAAAATGCGCCCAATAAATTGCTCCAGAAATCCAAAGAGTTTTAAGGGCATCTATTTTTTCAGATTTTTCAAAAAACAAGTCAGTATTTTTTTGCGTTCGACTGGTTTCCAGCTGTCTCTTGGCTATGTTTTATCTATAAGTCTACTTTCTCTGTTTTATCAAAAATATTGTCAATCAAAAATATGCTTGAAATTTTCAGGCCATACATTTCTGTGAAAAAAAAACCAAAAAGTTCTTTCCGACTAGTACGTAATGATTATCACCCTTAACTTTTTATCATTCCTTAATAAGAATTAAAAATTTAAGCCTAATAGGCTAGAAAAATGCTTACCCTCTACGCTTAACACTTGACTGTTTTCCGATGTTATTTTTGTTTGATCGTTGTAGGAATTGGGCTGAACACCTGAATATTGGCTCTCTCATTGAAGCTTCGGACCAGTTCATTTGCAATAACTTCCTCCAGATCTCAGGCAGTCCAGAAGATTTCTCTCAACTTCCACTCAACGCAATCAAAGCACTTGTCTCAAGGTCAGTCGTTGGAAACTCATCTTTTTTCTTTTTCTACGCGAGTACAGTGCTGATTTAAGTTATCAGGACAAAAACGAACAAAACTTGAAACTTATGTTGCGCTTGTCTCAAATTGCGGCTGCTCTTAGACAAAATGTGATTAAGACAAAATTGCTTAGCATGGTGAACTTTCATTTGCTAATTTCCGACCCAAAGTTTTAACCAATTGTAGATCTTTTTCAGCTTGGTTTGTTTGATTAAAACTAACGGAAAAACTACGGGAGTCAATTTTTGAATAACTTATTTTAAGAGCGCAGCCACGTTTACGATGGTTACAAAGCCTGAAAATCCAATGAGTTACTTTTCAAATTAGAAAAGCGACTGTATTCGGTGAAGTCACTTTGCTTAGGCTATGAGACGAACTCTTGAACTTGGGTCTAAGTATTCAAAAATTAACTCCGTATTTTTGCTTCAGTTTTAATCGAACGATTCAAAGTGAAAAATATCACTGAATAGTAAAATTTTGTTCCAAATTCTGTTATACAAAATACAACAAATTAATATTGTTTAAATTCTACAGCAAGTTTTGTCTTGTCATTTTTTGTCTAAATTCAACCCAATTGGAGAAAACGCTGTAAAATTATGATTTTTGCTGTTTTCTCTGATGAACTTGGCAGAAATGTAAGTGGATAATTTGTAAATATCACGAAAAAGATCGACTGATTGAAGATTTTCTGTTTTGAGAAGAAAATTTAAAAATCGGTAATCGCTTTTAACTTCAATTTGAAGGCGCATTGTTTCGAGGCATTTAATTGATTAAGTTCGGCCTTAAATTACGGTCTTCTCTCCGGAATTTTGATGACAGCTCGTATCATGGTGAAGCCCCGAATATTGGGACTGCTTATTAAGGTCAATGACGTCGTGTTAGCTTCAAAAAGATGGTGATATTTATTTTCATTTTTTATCGAAATCTTCCTCCACACGATTTGTAAAGTAAAGTGATATTTTTCACCTATAGCAAACAAAACGGCTCGTCTCAGGGCAAAACCTTGAATGTTGCTACTACCCATTAATTAGTCTCGAATAATTTTTGGTAATTGAAATATTGGCAAAACTATGAATTTTAAGGCTGATAATATCAAAGTGTTAAAATTTGAGTCGTTAATGGAATTAATAATACCAAATAGCTCACCTCAACTCAATTTTGAAAGATTATGAGTGCGGATTTTTTTCCACCACAAATACATAATTCGTGTATTGAAACAAAATTTGAAAGTTTTACTTCAGCAGCCGAGCCGCACTTCAGTCTAGTGCAAGCATTCTTGCTTAGAAATCCAAAGGTTTCCGGATCGATGCCCATACGCAGTGAACTTTTCTAAAATCGTTCTGAACAAAAGAACCACTCCAGGCATATATATTCCTCAATTTTTTTTCGGAAGTCGGAACAATAATTAAATAGACCAAATAGCATGCCTCAATTCAGTTTGGAACAGTTTCTAAGACGATTAAATCTCCGCTTACGCGTTAATAGCACGAAAGATATCGCGTGTTAATTATCCCTAATAGGCCATCTTGATACCCGCATAATTTTAAGAAAACTGATCTTAGGTAAAATATATTTTAAAATTTGAGCTCAGAACAACAATAATGTTTGGATGATGTAAACATATTTTGTCGAAAATAGTTAGTTAAAAAGTCGAAATTTGTCTGGAGAAAAACAACCACCCCGAGCTCAAATATTCCGTTTTTTTTTCTTCGAAAGTCGGAAGAAAAAGTTGCTTTGTGCTGCGTGTAAAATAATTGATATGGAATGTCCAAAATTTCCAAAGTATAACTAAGTTAAAATCCTCCTCCCTAAATTCCTCTTGAGCCAAGTTACCGATATAAAAAAATCCGTCAAAAATTGCTAATTAAAAATTCGAAATTTGCCAGTAAAAGGTCACCGCGACCTCAAATAACCCGTCTCTATTTCCGAAAATCGGATTAGTTACGTTGGGTACGTAAGAAAAAGACGGAATTTTTATGCTCTGGTGGGTATTTTTTTCTCCAGACAAATTTCAAAATTTTAACTTGCAATTTTTTTTTGTGTATCATCCGATAGGCATTGTTGCTGTGAGCTCAAATCTATTTCAAAAAATATTTCCCCGTTGATCATTTCTTGGTAAATTATGGGGGTTGAATGATTGCCAATTCGATACAATCAACGCGCGCGATACTTCGTGCTGTTAACGCGTAGCCGGAGATTTAATCCGTCTTAAAAGTCGTTTCAAACTGATTTGAGGCATGTTTTTTGGTCTATTTAATACTATGCGAAATATATCACATTGTACGTATAGATCTATTTGTAATATATTTTTTTCTTCTTTAGGTGTGGGTGGATTGTTTTTCGGAAATGAATTATTTTTCACTTATCAAATTTTGTAAAGCGTAACAGGGTGACTAACTGGTCGGTAATTATTGACCAGTCGGTATTGGTTGGTGTTTGGTCTGTGTTTTTCAAAAGTCCGCAATAATGATGCTGTTTTGTAGCTATATGTAAATTTGTATTGATGACAAAAAGTTAGCTGATAGTTCTGTGGTCGAATTTTTTAGAGTAAAGTAATGAGAAAGAGCACGCAGACGATCCATCTATAGGTATTATCCTGTGCTTGAAACTTTTTCTAAAAATGACTTAGACAAATGTCAGGTCGATATTTTTCAGAAAATTGTTCTATAGAGCTTAAAAGGCAGTCGGAATTTTCAGAGCTTCGATCTGGCACGAGGAGTCTTGTTTTGTATTCAAATATCAAAAGTTCTTCCCTGCAACACCTAAATAAAACAAATAATCGGATGTTTTTCTTTATTTAAGCAGAAAATAGTTAAATGTGACTAATTTAATCAATTTATTTCCACTGCGAAACGAATTTTGAAGTTATTTCTACTTTTGTTGTTCTTAAACTTTGGAGAATCTGGCGTGTGCGTTCAAGCAATAGAATAAAGAGATAAGCGCTGAATTGATCCTGTTGTTCTGATAAAAGTCAGTTTTTTTTTGAATTAATGGTAAAATATAGGCCCCCAAATTGTGTTGTAACTTTAACTAATTTCATTCAGATTTTTACTTTAATATACTCCGTGTATATTGTTGTAGTCCCTCCTTGAATATCACGTGTGAGACGGAGGTGTTTGAGGCGGTGATGCAGTGGGTGAAGGCCGAATTGGACGCCCGAAGTGAGCACCTGCTGGGTCTGATGAAGGAAGTGCGACTGGCCATGATGCCCAAACATTACCTCATAGCCACTGTCGAGGCAGACCCCACCTTCCACCAGGACCAGGTATAGAATTACATCCATTCACAGTTCGTTTTCTATTGAACTAGACAAGACAATATATATTTATCACATCACTCGTCTTTTTTAGTGTTTTGGCCTACACAAGTTTCTACACAGCACAGAATTTTGAGCAAATAGTTGCTTGTGTTTGCAAAGCTTAGAGTCTATAAAACATCGCTTTACAAAGTGGAAGAACGAAGTGAATTAGATTATACGGTGCGTATTCATAGGTTCTAAAATAAAAAATCAGTCTCATAGGTTCCAAAATAAAAAAGCAGTCGCATAAGTTCCAAATCTTTTCAATTGGTCAAAAGACTAAATTAGCCGAGTCTCTGTTTAAGGTCGCCGGTGGGCGCGCTACGTGCGCTCGCCGCTTGCTGCGATAACGGGCTCTAAATTTCGTATAGTCCTACCCTTTGGTGGCAAGCTCGCAACACGTTGGCGCGGCGGTCACTATTCTGCAGCTTGAGTTTATGCTGGTTGAACAGTAAACAATCAATCCATAAATTCGTTGGCTCCAATTTCAACCAATCAGAATTCATGATGATAAATTTGGAACTTATGGACTGATTTTTTATTTTGGAACCTATGAATATTGGAACCTATGGGAAGTCACCGATTATACACGACCGAAAAAATATTATCGCGACTTGATTCATGATTTGTTTCCATGTTATCAAAAAACCGCCGGCCATAAATTGTTCTAGTAATTCAAAGAGCTTAAAGGGCATCTATTTTCTCTGAAATTTCAATTTTGACATTTTCTTACCAAAAAAACAAGCAGTCTTTTATTCGGTTTGTTTGCTTTGCATTTAATGACTCTTTTCCAACTGTCTGTTGGCTAGGTTCATTTGTTCTTGATGGGTTTTTAGTGCTTCCTTCATGATAGATTGGCCAACATCACAAAGTCCCTGAAAAGCATGTTTTGAAACGCTAAGTTTTAGAAAAAATGTAGTAAAACGTAACAATCTAAATAAAGCTATGGTATCATCGCCATTTTAAAAATAATTTTTGAACTATGTTATTATCGCTCTTTTTAACCGCAGCGGTATGTTATTTTAAAGTTATTTTAATCACGTTCGCATATTAAGTTTCGCATGGTGCCATCGCCATTTTAAAAAGAATTCTAGAACTATGGTACCATCACTCTTTTTAACCGCAGCGGTATGTTATTTTAAACTTATTTTTAATCTTTTTTGCATAAAAAGTTTCATGCGAAACAAAAAAAAATTGAAAAACGATTAATTGCTTATGCGTTATTGTGTTAAAATTGGTAATTTGTAAAAAAAAATTATCTTCTGTTTTCTTGCGTTCATTGACTTTTTTTCAACTGTCTGATTGCTATATTAGGAATTCCCGGCAGCATAAAAATTACTTATCGATATAGTTTTCTCAAATGGGTTAACTTTACGAAAGAAGTCACGATCAAAAATAAAACATTATTTTTAAAAATTCAGAGCGTTAACATGATATATATTTTTTTCTCCGAGGTGTTCAACAATTTTCAACGTCGTTTCGGTTTCCATGTTCTTTTCACTTTTCCAACTGTCTGTTGGCTCTTTTGTATTTGGTTTCATGCTTTTTTTCAAACATTAGTGTATGAGATTAACATCAATTGGAATGAGTTATCGGTTTAAATATATATTTTTTTCAAATGAGCCTCACTGGTTGTTTTAATTAACTTGGTTGTTTTTCACAAGGACCTATGGTCTAATTGTTGGAACGCATAAACAGAGTTTATAAATGTCGGTTCCCAGTGGGAAACCCGTGATTTTGTTAATCAGTTATTATAGGGTAAGCAAATTGCAGATTCGCTGGTCTTGTCGCCTATCCCGTCGATGTTCGATATTTTCTAAAGGTGTATTTTCCATAAAATTAATGTGGTGTATTATGAATAAATTTCTTATTCTTTTAAGTAAATTTGGGTGTTAAAGAAAAATGAAGTTCTAGATCTTGTAATAACCAAAATAACTGTGACTGTGAATCTAAGTAATATAGTTTAGCAGGTCTATTTCAAAATTAGGATCAAGTTAACATCCTCTAAACGGATGGGGGGGATGTTAACTGGTCCCAAAATTATTTAAACAGTGTGTAAGCCCATGTTGAATTTGCTCATTGCAAGATTGTTTTCATGAAGAATGAGAAGTAAATAATTTCATTACGAACAGTAAGAAAAATTAGCTTATTTTTCTAATTGAGGATAGTGAAAAGGCATTTATAAGACTGGCTTAGCGGCGGCGCCTAAGTAAGAAGTCAACAATCTGAAGAAAAGAGGCATTCATAATCAAAATATCTTAAATTAAAAGCTAAAAACAAAATTTAACAGTTGTGACAAAGCCGTTTTTTTTTCTGATTAGTGAAGTCACTTAATAAACTCCACTCGGTGAAGCCACTTAACAAACTACTTAATAGAGGGAATCAAGTCCAGGGTAGCCAAGATCAATTGATTTAAAAAAAAACGCTCAAAACCTTTTAAGCGTTAATAATTGTTTCAAAACATGTTTAAAATCAAAATTTAGGCAATTGTTTTAAAGCTCGACTTATGAATCATTTCCTTCTTTTTTCAGGGGTGTCGTGAGCTGCTGAACCAAGCGAAGAGTTACCACCTGCTGGAAAGTAGCAGAGGAGTAGGGGCACTGGGACTGGGCATGCATCCGGACAAGATCATCCCCAGGCATGCAACTGCTGGTGAGTTGAGCAGCTATATCAATAAACTCCTCAGTTGTTGTTTTTAATGAAGTTTTTCCTTTTTGATCTAGTTGTATAAAAAATTGAGTAGTTATACAGTTTTTTCTCAATTGGGTTAGTTTTTTTCTCCATGCGATTTGTCGAGCATAATGTTTTACGGTCATTCCGCTTTTTTTCTAAGTAACTCAGGTTTTAGTGCAAGAAATTATGGTTCTTAGGGTTTTAAGTTCTTTGTATCTTTTGGATGCCCTGAGCTCCAGTGTAAAAAGATGTAAGCCCTGCTATCCTTTTTTCTGTCCAATTTTGCAGGTTTAAAATTTTCAAATTGTTGGATTAAATGAGGCGCAAGTTTATGCGGTTATTTATGGCGATAACGCGTCAGCGCGGCGATGTAATACAAACCTGTTCAAATAATTGCTCCAAATAAAATAAACTTAATTGAGTTGACTAAAATTATCCCTAATAGACTCGAGTTTAGACGCGAGCTTTAAGGACGCAGGTTTTTAGACGCATGTTTTTTTTGAAACTGGAAGGTAGTTTTTTTCGCTTTCCTTAAATTGATTAAATTTTTATCCAATGAACAATTATACGGCTAGTTCCTTGTTTTCTAAAGCAAAGTTTTTGCTAAGTATCGAAATCATAATTTTGATGGGAATTTGAATATCCTTTGCAAATACCGACGCTCTTTAGCCTGTAATTCTTATTTTGTAGACTTTTGGAAGTTCATTAAATGAGCTTTCGTCAATTAGCTTGTTGGGTTGAATTATGCTCGATTTTATGCATTTATTTATGATATCCATAGCGGAAGCGCAACTTGTTTGTGCTATTTATTTCAACTTTTAAAGCGCTTAAATAATGATTCCAAATAGAATTAAGTAAGCTAGTGGGTCCCAATAAATTCTATTTTACACTCAAATTGTATTCTCCAGTACATGCTACTTTTTGAAGTAGATTTTCTTTCAAGGCATATTTTTGCATTTTTTTTTTGAAATTTTGATCTTTCAAGAGCTACTTGATGCCATTTTTGCTTGTGTTTGCGAAGTGCAGCTTCGCCTCTGTGAAGAAACGGTGTCAATGACAACCAGTACAGAAGTTCAAAGAGCCTTAAGCTGGTGTAGTATTACATTTTGCCTTTAGAAACATATTCACTAATCACTTATGCGCGTTGTCAATATTGAGACTCGGCAATTTGTTGGAATATGTTATACGCAGTTGCATGCATTTATCTATGATGCTCAACTATTAAGCTCAACTTATTTGAGCGCGACGGGTCATCTGAATTTTAATGCGCTCAAATAATCAATGAAAATTGAATCGAGGCAAGCAAATTAGTGTCTACTATTTGTGCTCGGGGTGGTTTTTTCTCCAGACAGTTTTTTTTTGTTCCGACTTTCGAAGAGAGCGCGGAGTGTTCATGCTTGGCGTGGTGTTTTTCTTATTCAGACAATTTTTCACTATTTACACAAGCTAGTTAAGAAGTGGATTTTGTTCAGGATTTGGTTCGACTTTGATTTCTGTTTAAGTTCACTTTTTTCTTTTGCTTTCACAAGCGAAGCGTAGAGTATAATTACGAAAAAAATTTGGCTTTTTGTTTTGAATTTTTTTATTCAATGCTCTCGAATACTAGATGCACAAATCTGAGATGAAAATTTTAATCAAAAGATCAAACAATGGGGATATCCCCTTCTCAAGTGGCTATTCCTTAATATTCGTAGAAAAAAAGATATGGCCTCAGTTAAGCCACCATTTCTCAAAAACTACCCTGTCAAATTGGAGATGAAGGGTTCAACCGAAAGAAAAATCAGTTATGCGAATCTTATCGGCGAAAGCGGCTATGCCCTGCGTTTTAATAAAAAATATGGCCTTAGAAAATGTCCAATTTTTGAAATTCTGCCCGTTTTTTGGAAAGTTAATCTTTTTAAACAAAAAACTAACTTGCTGATACTGAGGCTGATAGTTCATTCAAACTAACATGATGCTTCGATTTTTCCTGTATAATCTGTTTTGCTCTATTTGTAGAAAAGCTGATATGGACTTCGGAAAAATCCATTTTGGGAAATTTTTTACCGTTTGTTTTACTAAGAAATTTCATCACTGTTCCTGAACACTAACTAAATCTGATATCAAGGGTTCATTCTATAAATCAGGGTGTGGACGTCTGCCCTGCATAAGAGCCTATTCCCATGCTTAATGAGAAATATTTATGAATCTAAGAAAAGTCAAAGTTTGAATTTTTGATCAATTTTGGAATCTTTTCACTTTTCGAAAACTACTGACCCAAATCTGAGATAAAGTTTTCAATTGAATGAGCGAATAGTAGTTTTCTCTTTTAAATAAGCGGCTAAACCCCTCCATAAGCAGAGAAATCACTAGGGTGTTACGTAAAGCCCATTTTTTGAGAATTACGTACAATTACGTATCAGAACAATATGTTATTAAAGTATTGAAACAGGTGGATTCAGCATTAGCTGGGCTGCTATGTTAATTCCAAGTGACTGCGGCGCAGAAGTGATGACTTCATACTCTTAATCAACAGGTTGGAGGTTTAAATCCGGATTTTTGAATTAGTTTTTTTTTGGTCGAATAATTGCTGCGAAGCATTGTCAGTTTGATAGATACTGTAGCTGCTTTATTGATTGGTCGCTAGTGTTAGTAAAATTACAAGAGGTTGTGTTTCAGATGTGAGTACATGATTCTCCTAATCTCACTAAAAATTTTTCAAGGTTTTTAAATCTTTTTCTGATTTCACTTTGTTTTGCCTGTTTAGAGCTGTTTTTTGCATTTTCCTCGCTTGTGCCTGCGAAGCGCAGCTTTGCCTCTGTGTTAACTAAGTGTTTTTAGGAAAATTTTTAAAACATCTGAAATATTTTGTTTTCTTGAGCTCAAATTTGAAAAGATGTTTCACCCGTAATATTTTTTGTAAAATATTGGGGTTTAAAAATTGATAATTTAGCCAAGTTGTGATAATTAACGCGCGATAAATTGCGGATGTATAACACGGGTAAGCTGCAGCTTAATGTGTTCCAAGCTGAGTTAAGGCCAGCAATTTAATCCTTTAAAAACAATACGAGAGGCTAAACAAACCCTTTGTGTTTTACATAGCGTTAGGGGAATAAATTGAAGAAAAAAATGGAATCATTTATTTCGCCAATTATTCAACCAAAGGACTTTTTATTTGATCTGAAAATGCAGTCGGAGCATTCAGGTTTGCGCCCTGATATGCGGAAAGTCTTGCTTTTCATCTGGCTGTTTTTGGCAGTTTTTTATACAATCTGAACGATTATGATATTCGAAGGTCTAATTTAAAAAAAGAACTTATTCTGGACCATTTGTTCTGAAGTTTGGTTTAAATTTGGGACTATTTTGATGAGAATGATTCAATGTAGGATAATCAACGCGTGATTAATTTCGTCCGATTAAAGCGTAAGCGGCAAATTAAACTATTCTAAATTGAATTGAGGCAATCAATTTTCTATTATTAGTAGGTTACCAGAAGCAAAGATATCACTTTTTTTTACATGAAATGGGGTGTGGGGGATAAAATTAAGAAATATCGTTGAACAAAAATGGGAAAACAAAATTTTTTGTTTTCGGGAATTTTTTCAAACAAAAAATGATTTTGGTCGACGCTAAAAGCAGTCGGATAAATCAGTGCATTGCCCTGATACGAGCAGTTTGATACTCTTGAAGTTTTTTGTGCGAGTCATATGTCTGTATTCTCGAGCAGTTTTGTCTTTTAAGAGCTACTTTTGGCCGGTTTTTCCGCTTTTATTTGCTGAGCATAGCTTCGTTGTGTAACAAAAAAATGGCACAACAGTTCGCGCTTCTATTGAGTTCTAAAACAAATTGGAGAATTCCGTGCAGATTGAAAACTACCCATTCTCAATTTGGGTTAGTGCAATGAAAACGCTTCAGTTTTACCATGAAGGTTCTTGAAAGTAATGAATCTTCGCAGTGAAGTTATTTGTTTTCAGAATTTTGAAAGATGAAAATTTGAACGACTGGTTTCTTGGGATCTTTTAGTTCATTAAAATGGGTCCTTTGGCTATACTGTTTTAGTTTCAATTTGATTCGGTCTCGGTGTGTCATGACTCAAATGAATTTACAAGTGTTGTTATATTTCCGAGTTGAATCAGCATTTGGAAAAAAAATAAAAATTACTTAATTAGCTATTTGACATGATAAATTTTCTTGCTGGCTTTTGATATTTTTTGTAGCCAGTCGGCTTTTAAACCTCGCTCACCTTGCTTATTATGACCACGTGTTTTTGCTGTATCGGTTTTGAAAACCTGTTCCTTCTTGAGCTGAAGCTTTGACACATTCAATGACACATCTAACTAAAGCAACTCAACTGAATAAATAAATAGTCCACGTTTTATTACTAAAAAATTGCGCTTTCGGCTCGCACTCGCCCCTTCAAATTACAGTGTATTGGCGCCAAAGGCACCTTTGGAAAAGGATTTGATTAAGTCGGTCGAAAGTGGATGTCGTAAATTAAAGTAGTATCAAAGGGGGAAATTAAAGTAGTATCAAAGGGGGAAGATACTTTAGGGTTTGACTCGAACAAATTTGTGCTCAACTTTCGAGCTCAATTCCATTAAATGTTGGTTTAGTGTTTTATCCGCTTAAATTTTACCTGATATGTGAAAACCCTTTAAGACAGATAGGACAGTTCGCTCAATCAAGAAGAGGTTTGCTTCATAATAAGGAGATCGATTTCCGTAGTCGGCTAGTTTTTTTCGTTAATTCTGAAAGCTTATTTGCTTTTGTATTTTCGAAAAATTTTAATGCAATTTATGATGTTGAAAACGTGAGGCGATTTATTTATGCATGGTGAATTATCCCGCACTCAAAATTGTTCCAAGTTGAATTGAGGCAAGCTAATTGGTCTCATTAATTCCCTATCAGGCTCAAATTTTAATCAATGAAAAGTTTAAGATCTCTTTAACTATTTCCCTCTTGCAAAAGGGGGGATTCGTTACGAGGTACAAAACGGTTACCGTTGAGTTATTTCATTTTAGAGATGGCAATTCGTTACTACGTAGCAAAGGGGGATAGTTAAATAGATCCAAAGCTTATCCCTTTTGCGACCGAGGATGTATTGTAAAAGATACCCTGAAATTGAACTTTAATCTTGTTCAATTTGTATTTAATGTCTCAATTCGCAGGTTTTTATTTCTTTTTCATTTCAAGTTTAATTTATGGTGTCAAAATTTTGTTTTGTTATTCGAAATGGATGCAACATCAAAGGAAACTTATGTCTCTAATCTGACAAAAGCTCATAGCAACCTTTCAGGGGTGGGGCGGATTCTCTCAGCCAGTTTTCGGCCGACCGACTGTCAATAAAACGTTCTATATACTAAACAATATATACTAAATTTTTGAGGGAGCGCCCCAAAAAAACGCAATGTTTCCGTGAAAACCTACCTTTATGTGTTTTATCCAGTTTTTCAACAAACTTGCCTGCGGTGCGAATTCTTTGCCAAAACAGGATCTTAGGGGATCTAATACGAGTATAGTATCTTAGGGGATCACGATCTAGTATTTTGGGAGAGCTCGGAATATCAATTTGGTCAGAAAATCAACCCCCCAAATGAAAAAAAAAAATCATAGATCCGTCTTTGCAACCTTCAATGAATTTGTTCATGAGTATGTTTATTTTCTGTTATAGGGGTGTTGTTCTGTATTGGGGGCAGAGGTGCTACCGGGGACCCCTTCAGGACGACGGAAGTGTACAACCCACTGAGTAGGAAGTGGTTCCACATAGCCGAGATGAGCACCAAGCGCAGACATGTAGGAGTGTGCAGCATAGGCGGCAAGGTAAAAATACGGGACACTCCAAAATAGATCAGGATAGTAGGCTATAATTAGAAAGACCATGTAGAAATATGGGATTTGAACCTCCTATTTACTGATTGATAGTTTCGCTAGATGTTTGTGTAGGGCCTGTTTTGGTAACTCAACTCTCAATTGCAATGACTTCTGCTTTTTGATATTCCCTGCAGAACGAATAAGATTTCAAAGACTATTAATTTTTTTACGGCAACGATTCAAAAAAAATTTGGTCTCATCTGTTCTGACTGCTCTGTTCAAAGTTCTAAAAAATCCAATTTTGATAGCGTTCCCAACGACCAGGCCCAGTTGTTATTGGCTTTCATATCCATTGGCTGTGTTTAAAGGATTGAATTATTAAGAGTAATGAACGTAGTGAAGACTCTTATATAGGTCTTGCAGATTTTTTTTTTCAGGAAAAATTCTCAAAATGTGCATTAAAGTCTCTAATTACTACAGATGTGCATTCATACATATTGATGCATTTATGAATGCACTTCTGTATATATGCACTTTTTGAGTTCAGTTGAAATTCATCTGCTGAAAGTTACTTAAATAGCACTCTTCAAATACGAACGTGGAAATGGTGGAAAAAACGTGAACGATTTCTAATTTCGAAAAAGGAATTCAGTTTTTAGATTTCCAGCGGAATAAAAACTTTACCTATTGATCCAGTTTTCTCTAGTTGGGTTCATGTTATCAAAAAAGCGCTAATCATAAATTGAGCTTAAAGGGCTTCTTTTTTGTTCTTCTTTGACTTCGAAAGTTTTATGTTTACTTGCATTCATTGCTCTTTTCCAATCTTTGATTAACTATGTTTCCAATAACGGAATAGATGCGATTTTTGGTTCGGTTGCTTTAGTTTTCCACGCAAAATCAGGTACCACTAATAATCATCGGACTGATTTGAGTGATATATCATATTAAAGCCCTTTCAGTCGTGATTTGAACATTTAAAAATTTTCAAAAAAAAAAATTAGTGTCGAGAAAACCGGTTTAAAATTTTTGATTTTTGGTCTAATTTCGAGCTAATAAGGTGACCGTATATGCTTACAATAGCTTATTTAAGCTTATTTTCAGCCGTTAAAAGTTAGTTTTATTCAAGTAAAAGTAGTTTCTGAAGTTTTTAACGCAATTTTGGGAAGAAAAAACTTGAAATATCAAAAAGTTTTAGCAAAAAAATGAATACTTTTAAGTTTTTTCAAGTTTTTCCGGCCACTTTTCTTCAAAAACCAATTGACCTATGTTTTCCAATTGACCTATTTTACTATGACTCTCAAATATGCCTATATTCTTTTTTTCGTTCAGATTTTTTATTACAACATGCAGAAAAAAACGACACAAATTTGCAAAAAAAAACTTTTTTGTTGTATTTTTTAAGACTGGTGATAACATTCTGTGCTACTTGCACAGTAACCGGCTATCCTTGTTTTGTTTCGAATTTAGAGACATGGTAGCAGAAGAGTATTGTGATGTGTTGTGGTGTAGGTGTATGCAGCAGGTGGCCATGACGGGAAGAGACATCTGAAGAGTGTGGAGATGTATGACACTCAGTGTGGACAGTGGACCATGCTCAGTCCCATGCAGACGCACAGGTCACTCTCTACAAAAGACTTAAAAATCATTCGTACTAAATCTCTCCTCTCCTCACCACGCTATGCATTGCCTTTTGTATCCAGCCACTATACACTATTCATTCCATTCAAATGCTTGAAACACGCAAAGACTGCTCGTATGATGGCTAGGTCTTCAATGTCCTGACAGCCCTTTCGCGTTTCTCAATTCATTTTTCTTAGTTTCGAAATCAGAAAAGGTTCAAAAAACCATACCTGACAAATTTCCTCACTTTCTTCGAAAGTTTAGCAATCTATAGAATAATTTTAGATTTCTCTCTCCTATCTCTCTCGCTCGCTCTCTCTCTCTCTCATCTCTCTCTCTCTCTCTGTTATCTGTGTGTGTGTTTCTATTAGACGTGGGCTGGCGGTGGTGTCATTGGGAAGTGCCATGTTCGCAGTGGGGGGTCTGGACGACTCCTCGTGCTTCGACACAGTGGAGAGATACGACACCCTGGAGGACCAGTGGACCCCTGTAGCCAGCATGAACCACAGGCGGGGAGGGGCCGGACTAGTGGCACTGGAGGCAAGTTACCAACCATTCCTCTAAGTATAATAGGTAGGAGATAGGTAGGAGACAAAATACGCTAAGATAGGTAGGAGACAAAATAAATAAAAAGCAATATGCCAATCTTGCAAGTTTCAGGCAATCTCGGGAAATATATTCTGTCTAAAAAACTGGCTTTTGCGGGCAACAATTTTGTGACATGGTTGAATTACAGTCAATTAGAATCTCTTGCCATTTATAATACTGCTAGAGTGTCAACATCATTAACAATCATTCTATTAGCAAGTTTTATCCCAAAAGAAAGTAAAGTTGAAATGTTGAGGCTGTGAATCTTTATGGAAACTTGAGTGAAAATGCGATCAGTATTCTAGTCTAAGAAAATCCGATACAATTTTGCGCTCTAGAGATCAAAATTTGACCTAAGTTCATTTGGCCTTTCTTTTGATATGGTGTTGATGACGTGGCTAACTGTTTTGTGTGGTTAAAGGGTAACCTGTATGCAATTGGTGGCAATGACGGAGTCAGTTCTCTCAGCTGCTGTGAGAAGTATGACCCCTACCTGAACAAGTGGACTGAGATCAGCAGCATGACTGTGAGACGAGCAGGCGCTGGAATTGCAGTGTACGGAGGACGCATATTCGCAGCAGGTACGATATTGTGCTACACACACAAGCTACGCCCACCCACACATGCATTTTTTATTGATTAAATTTTCGTCCGCGTTGTGTGAGTGTAATTACTCTTGTTAACTTGCGATAGCTACTCTTTCATAATCGGGTCTTGGCTTTCTTGCCAGCTAACAACTTTGTCTAGGTTTGAGCAAGTCAGCGCATCTCTGGAGGTTTTGACGAGAGGTGGGCTGACATGCTCATTTTGGTGAAAAATTATTTTTCAAATCAATGCCACAAATCTTGCTTCGATGCTATGTTGCTTATAACAGCAGATTTTTCATGGGTCGAGAAAAGCACTTCGAAGACTGAAACTTTTGTTTCAATGCTAATTTAACGCTCTCTCAGCATGTGTTCCGCAACATAGCTTGTTTCGAACATTTTTTTCGATTGTGACTTTCGTTTCATTTTGTCGGCTAGCTTGCTATATTTGCTTGATAACATATTTGGTTTGAAGAGGCAGTTTTGTAAGTTCATTGGTTACAGCATCAAATAGGTTTCTTTATGGCGGGCTTAACCCATACCCGCCTTAATTTCATTCTTAGTTTTGTAATTGTTTGTAGCTAAAAGCAGGAGGGGTCGTCCAACTCGTGTCATCAGTTTCATTTACTTCCAGTACTCAACAGTCGAAGATTGTGGAGATTGATTTATCGTTTCATCTCATCCGTGAAATAGTAACTATGGTTTTCCTAGGGTTTGCTAAGAGCGATAAATCTCCCTTTTTACAGTGCTAATGAAGTCAGTTCTTGGGGGCGGTTTTCGGTACGAAAAACCGAGCAAAACTCCCGCGCCAGTTTCAAGTGGGCAGTTTTAATTAGTTCGGAGAACCGAGAAAAAATCCTTATGTGCTCAGTTTTCTTTGTCCCGCGGGTCGTAAAATTTGATTATTCGTCGAGAAGTTGGCTTCGACGAAGAGTTGAAGAAGTAGTGTATGTCATGTTACTATTTGTGCATTTGTTTTTGATATTTTTGTCCAATATCGACTGATAGTTTTGTAATTGTGTTCAAATTCCACGGCGGAGTTGAGCAAGAATACGTCGCAAATTTTCGGGCCACATGTTTTCACAAAAAAAGCCATTTTTTTTGTTTTTGAGAGCCCAGTTTGGAAGGATGTTTGGTAACCTAGTTTTTTCACCTCATTCAAATAATTTTCTTCACTGCGACTTTGAATTGATCTGGTAAAATGCGATCATTTTCAAATTAATTTTAATGTTGCTTTATTATATTTCGACAAGTGTTGGGTTTGCAAGTATCAACATTGGGTTGTGCATGATAGCGTGGTGGTCACATCGTTCTTGTTGACGGCAGGCAGTTAGAAATTGGTTTTTGGGACATTTAATTGTGTTCCTTGGCTGGTAGCATTTTAGTTTAATTCCTTCTTGTCTGCATTCAGTTCAAAAGTTGAAAGTTAATTGGAATTATTAGTGGCTTTCATCTAAGGATTTTTAGTTCGTCTCTGACTTCAATTGTTCAGTGTAAAAGGACGAAGTGATTTTCACTTATATAGGGCTTGAACTAATTTTTTTGTCAGCAAGGGCGTGACCGTTCGTTTTTTTTTCAGAAAAAATCTCAACTAGAGAAGAACTAGAGAAATGCATTCATACATATTAAAAAGAATTTATGAATGCTCGAAGATATATATGTACCTTTTGAATTAAATTCAAGTTTTTCTGCTAAAATTTAGGTAAGTTGCGCTTTCCAATTACGCACGACTCCGCTCTTGCGATAGGGGGATTGATAAAGAAACCGATCTCTCATCTTAATTTAAACAAACGCAACGGTTATCCTGATGAAAAAACAATGATATAGAATGTGTGGTGTTGCAGGTGGCTTCGATGACAACGCACCCCTGAAGTGTGTGGAGTGTTTCGACCCCGAGAAGAACGCATGGCAGTCTCTGGCCCCCATGCTGTCCAGCAGGGGCGGAGTCGGACTCGCGTGTCTAGGGGGCAAGCTGTACGCAGTCGGTAAGTGGTGGACATCAAGAAAATTGGCAATTTTGAGGAACAAAAATTTTCTAAAAAAAGTTCCAGTATGTTCTGTCCAATTAAGTTCTGTCCAATTGGCTCAGTTGAAAATAGAACTTTTAATTCGACATTTGAAATAAAAATCGTGGAGGGCATCTGCTGTTTCGCTTCATTTGTTTTTAAATTAGTAAAAGTCTTAGAATTTGTTCACTCTCAGTTTTTGCCATCAGTTTTAACTTTTGAATATCGCTTTTCAAATTCATTTTCGAAGTAGAGCCTTGATTAGTTTTCAAAAAAGGACTTTTGTTGATTTAAGTTTTTTAATTTGTTCAGTTGGCATTGCACTTAACTGTTGAATGATTAGGGGGCCATGACGGGAGCAACTACCTGGACACAGTGGAGACATATGACCCCCTGAGGGATGTGTGGGAGCAGAGTAGTGACATCAATGTGCCCCGGGCGGGGGCGGGGGTGGTGTCTGTGAACTGTCTCGTTTCCCAACTGCAAGAGATCAGCCACAAAGTCACCAATGTGCAGAGTTATGTCTAAAATACCAGAACATGTTCTCGAAAGCGAGCTGCATCTAACGAACAAGTAACATTTGTACAGAACTGAAACTGACAATACCCAACCACGCATGTACATACTGGGAAGCAAATGGCTAGGAGCTCCAAACGGAAAGGAAGACATACAAATCAATGAGAACTTCGTAGCTGGAGATAAAAGTGTACAGCAGTGTTGTGTTGCGGAAGGTAGATGCATACAATTCAATACAAAATAATTGGAGTTGCCTCAGTCGAGAATAAAAGATATCAGTTGGGAACATTGAATTGGAAATGAAACAAAAAGTGAATTTTCTGCTCCTTCAAACTTTACTAGCCATTTAAAATATAACTTGTTGTCTATGTATCTCAAAACTTATAAAATAGTGTAGAAAGTTAGTTTCATATCATGGAATGGAAATATTTTTCAGAACTCAACGCTGGATAAGTTGCTGATTGATTTAATGATAATTTTGTTTTCTTGGGTAGAATAATTTTCACATTTAGTGTTAAGAAGGCTTTCATCTTTCGCTGTAAAGAAATTTTTATCTCAAAACAGTTTTCTTGATGTTTTTAGAGGTATAAAAAGGCTATAAATTGGAGAGGCGTGGAAAAAAATTTCGACAAAGTTTCATATCAGTAATGTCCTTACCTAGGAAAACGAAAAACCAAAAAGCCAGAAACTATAAATAATGAACACAAGAATTGGGGCACCAAAAGACTGGACTTAATTCTGATTAACAACGTAGTGTATTAGAACGATTTTTTTTAATCTAACTTGCAAATAAAAGTGCGCACTTATTTTTGCTAGAATCACGATCTGTAGCATTGGAAATTTCATAGCATCTGTTCTCTGTTTATTTGTGGCTAGTGTTTTAAATTAATGAAGTCCGTGGCTGATTGGTTAATTTGTGAGACTCATATTCTTCTGGTCGCAGATCGAATCCGAGACTGCCGAATTTTTAAAAATTCGAGGCTAATTTCTGCTTTTTATTGCATTTTTTAGAGCTGCTTCTCGTCTTCTCGCTAGTGTTTGCGATGCTAAGTTTCGCCTCTGTGTATAAGGATGATTTTATCATGAACAAAGCTGGGCGGGCGCTATCAATGCTGAAAAATCGATTGAAGAGAATATGCGCGAAATGTCTCTACCAATCACTGATTCCAAAAAAAAACATTCTAATGGATTTGCTTGAAAATCAGTACCTTAGCATAACCTTGCTTGACATCGTAAATAGAGCCCGAATTTTAATAGGCCAAAATGTAGAGTATACGAAGGCTAACACCTGAGGAAGACTGGAATAGAACTTCAGGATAACTGAGATTTTTTGAATAGAACTTGGTGTACTGTGCGGACTTTTCACTGCATATGACTGGAAGAAACTAATACGTAGAATCTTTTTTGACCGATTTTGAATTTATCAAATGAGTCATGTAGAAATCAAGTATTCTAAAATTTGATTGATTTTACCTTCCTGTCACCCCTAATTTCCTTTACAATATTTCAGATTCTTCTCATTTGAGCTTCTGAGCAATTATTCGACATCTATCGGCCATTGCGCCCTCTGGATACCTACCAAACCCTTTTTTGGTTGCTCTTGGATTATTTCTTGTTGTCTATCCCATTTAGGCATTAAATTGTAGTCGCTAAAAACGGATTGTTTTTCCGCAGTTTGGATCACTAATATCGATTTTCCAGTAAAAAGAAATTCTGTTGGTTTGTTGAAAATTGTAACATTGGCCTCGATTTTTGCCAGTTCAGGATCACAAAGTTGCGCCCGTGTCGAATCCAAGATATGAGACCAGGTTGTACTACAACGAGTAGAAACGCCAGTTGAAGATTGAGTTCGCATCACCTGATATATTCGATTCAGAAACATTATTAAAGCAGTTTTGTGCATTTATGAATCTACACTTAAGTCTCAGTTTTTACAAAGAGGCTTCGCATCACTTGTGATACAAAAATGTATGATTGTGATTACCAGTAAATGAAAAGACAAATCAAAATTTGAAATTAAACCAAAAAATATAGTTTTTTTTTGTCAAAAAAGTGATAAACAATACGAAAAAGGACAAAAAACTCCTGCAAAAAAATTCACTGAAGCATTAGTAACTTTGAAAAGAGCTTTCAGAATGCTAATTTGAAGCCAAACCTTTCTGTGGGAACTAAACCGGCAAAAATTAGCAGACAAAGTCTCTTCGAAAAACTTGCTTCTTTTAAAAAAAACTTTCAGTTTCGACCAAAAAAACAGGCCCCCGACTGAACTCGAACTTCTGGGATTTGTCGCCTCAAGCATCGATGTTACCAAATGCACAAATCACTCTTTGAAGTTATAAAACAAATAAACAACTTTTAAAATTTTTTAATCAACAATGAAAAAAATCAAAACATTGTAAAAAATAGGCAAAACTTTTTGGATCTGAATTACTTGCCCAGAACCGGAATAAACACAAATGTTTTTCGAGTTCGAGTAAAAAATGCCCAAATTTTAGGTAGAAAAAAAACAGGTCCTGGTCGGATTCAACCATTGATCTTTGTCTTTATGGGCAGTTGCGTTACTTTTTCGCCACATGCGCGAATTAACAACTGAATTTTGATTTCATATGAACCAAAGGTAAAATTATTCAAGTGGTTCTGTTAAACTGGTTGTTGACCCGGAAAAAAGTCAATACTCCAGTTCAATAGCGCCTGCTAATCGCAAGCGAAATATCGATTTTTATCGGTACATCAAATAACATGGATAGCATCTAATTGCACAAAACATTCCAACCAAAGCTTTATTTGCATTTTTTCAACGTAAGTAAATTGACAGCAGACTACAATATGACTTTAAAGCAGATAGAGTAGTAAACTTATTGCGCCGACCATTTGAAAAATCGGAAGAACTTTGTATTCGCGGTCGTTTTTGTTTCTTATTTTTTTCACGCAAAATTAGGCATCACAAACAACCATCGGAATGGGTCGAGTGATGTATACTAAAGCACCGGCAGTCGTGATTCGAACGACATTAAAAAATATTTTTTGAGAACATTGGCTTAGAAAGTTTTAGTTGCAAAAAATCGGTTAGAAATTTTAATGTATGGTCTAGTTTCGAGCTAACAAGGTTTGTCAAATTAATGTTTATGGCCTACAATAGCTTGTTTAAGCTTAATTTAAGCCGTAAAAACTTAATTTTACTGGATTAAAGTAAGATTTTGAACTTTTTAGAGCCATTTTGGGAATCAAAACTTCAAAAAATTGCAAAATTTTGTTTTTTTTTGCGATTTTTTGGTCATTTTTGAAGAAAAACTGCTTTTCAATTGGCTGATTTTACTGTCGAATGTACCTAATTTCTAATTATTAGTTCAGATCTTACTATCCTACTACACAGAAAATACTACCCAAATGTGAAAAAAGAGGTATTTTTTAAGACTATGGTCGGAGCAGTCTGTGCTATTTGCACAGTAACCGGGTTCCCTTGTTGCAAAATCAGATAATCTCAAGCAAGTGACTTCCTGTAAATGACACAATTTTACAGCGCAATTTTAGTTGTTTGTTCACGACTTCAAGTTTGTTATTTTCACGGCACATTCAGATGTATTTCAATTGAAAAAAAAATTTGTTTGAGATTTCCTGTTTTCAAAATGCTTTTAAAAATAAAATTTTTTAAACCACTTTCCTGTATTTGTTTGTTTTTCATCTTTACTGTTGTCGCTTGTGTTTTTTCGAGCAAAAACTAGAATTTGGAACATTGTTCTTGTGAATTTCAAACTTTCTTTGAAAAATTTCATTTCTTGTATCTCTTGCTACTCGAAGGCTCCACATCAAAGTAAAAGGTGTTTTTCCCACGCATAATCAGGTACTGCAAAGACTGTAAAACTACGTTGCCTGATGTCATGTTAAAGCCTTTTCTGTCGTCATTCGAACGCTACTTAATAATTACTCATTTGTCTTTTTGCGTGTCGAAAAAATGAATTTGAAACAATATGAATAGTTTTATGATTTTTAAAGAAAGGTTGTTCAAACCAGAAAAGAAAAGTTTCTTAAGCCAGACAAGAACATTATTATTTTATACATAGATACAGGGGCGGATCCAGGATTTTCTCGATGGGGGGGGGGCGCGGACCTTTATTTTAGGCCGACCAATTTTATTCTCCGAGCTCTCCCAAAGTACTAAAAAGAGCTTGGTTTGGCCAAATTTTCGGTGCCGCAGGCAAAATTTTGAAAAAACAGGCCAAAAACGGCGTTTTTAGGCACTTTTTGGAAATTTGTGCCTAAAAATAAGTATATATTGGCGCCAAAGGCGAATTTAGAAAAATTTTTGGGTCCGTCAGCCAAAAATGTATATCTCAAAATAGTTCAAAGGGGGATCCCTTGGGTCGGCAGGGCGTTTAATCCCTGAGGGGGGAGGGGGATGGGCGTCCGCAAACCCCTCGCCCTCCTCCTTAATCCGCCCCTGCATTGATATGTAATTTTAGAGCTGCATGCAATACACGCTTTTTTTCCGCCAACAAAATTAACGGTCCTTTGTTAATGAGTAAATAACCACCATAACCACCAGCTATTTACAGAGAACCGATTACAAAATTACATGCATTAAAAAATGTTTCTGGGACCAGTAAACTTGCTTCTTCCTAAAGACAGACGGCCAAGTTCACCACAGCTCCCAAAACCCACAAAAATATTTTGATATTTTCAAGCATCCTGCTATTCCTTGAAAAATACTTTGTAGACATGATGTTCACCGCGTTCAGACAATTCGGCCACAGACAATTCAGCCAATTTCAAATTCAGACAATTCAGTCAAAATGAGTGAGACAATTCGGCCAAAGACTATTCAGACAGTTTTAAAACGTGCGCGCAAAAATTTTTCACATGCGGCAAAACATCAAAGCTTTCATTAGACGACTTATAAGTAATTCCTTTCAAATGCACATAAAACAATTAAAATTAACAGAAACAAAAATGCCTAAGCACAATAAAACTTTATACAACTCATTATGTTTCCAATTTTGGAATAATAGTTAAGCAAAAATCGAACTCTACAAAAAACTGCGCAATACTTAAAAGTTAACCAATTTACACGAAAGCAGACCCGAAATTGGTAATTTACAGGCGGTCAAAAAGGATATCAGTTAAAGGGCTGACCACCCCTACCACGTACTGGCCACACAGTTACGCTGATATTCTTATCATGACTTAGGCGGGGGAGGGTGCAACCGCCTATCAGGTAATTTGGGTAGTTGGTTGAAACTAATTTGATACTTTTTTAAAAGATAAACTAATTGCGATTACAATATTGACCAACCAGAAACCAGTACCGCGTTTAGCCCCTACTTTTTGCAGTTAAATGGTCCATTGACACAATTAACATTGATTAATTTTCATTATCAAGTAGCTTGAACAGCTGGTTGATTAGTATCCGAATCATTCTCATTCATTCACATTTAGCAAAAGTTGACGTAAAATGGAATTCGTAATATCTGAACGCGGAAAAAAACATCTTTGTCTCGACGGTTATAGATACCGTGAAAAAAACCAACTTAAGAACGGTCTCATTAAATGGCAATGTACATTTGGAAATTGTAGAGCAGTGGGTTATTTGGACGAACAGCAAGAATTTACCTTAAAAACCGAGCACGCTCATTTACCGAGCCCCTCAAAAATTCAAGCCAACTCAACATCCCTTCGAAGTATAAACCGAATCAGGCAGCAAGCTTTGGAAACAATGCCAAAACCAAAAAACCTTGAGAGCGTCGACGAAATTCCTGAACCTCTCAAACTCACACACAGCGGTGATACGTTCCTGTATTTTGATTCTGGTAAGTCGGACAGTCGAGTTTTAGTTTTTGCAACACTACCAGCGCTTGATTTGCTTTCTCAGTCGGAAATCTGTCATTGCGATGGAACGTTTTCAGTGGTACCAGACGTCTTTTACCAAGTTTATACTATTCATGGTGTAATCGAAAACGCAGTTATACCCTTGGTGTATGCTCTGCTGCCCAATAAGACGCAAGACACTTACGAAAAACTTTTTGGCTGCTTAGAGCAATTTGGAAAAAAAAAAGTAGTCATTGACTTTGAAGCCGCTGTTCGCAACGCCATAAAAAAAATGCAGCCTGATACAGAAATTCAATTCTGTTTCTTCCACCTGGGCCAAGCAGTATGGCGCAATGTACAAAAACTTGGTTTTTCGCGCAAGTACATGGACGATGATGAGTTTCGACTGAATGTCAAACAAATGATTTGCTTGGCATTCGTTCCCATTGACGACGTTATTTTCGCGTTTGAGGCGCTCCGAAAAGAGGATCCCTCAGAGGAATTCCAGAGTCTATCAGACTACTTCGAAGACACCTATATTGGTGCTTGTCGAGGAAATAGACGCGTCAAACCAAAGTTTGACATTGCCGATTGGAACGTTTTCAATCGGGTGCTCAGCGGAGAACCTCGTACGAACAATTTCTTTGGTAAACTGTTGAAAGCCTTCTGACTCTAATCAAATTAGAAAAGTTTTATTGTTCCCTTTTATCTTGTCTCTTTAATCTAAATCGGCCGAATTGTCTTTGGCTGAATTGTCTGTATTTTAAATCGGCTGAATTGTCTGTGGCTGAATTGTCTCTGCGCCGATGTTCACGTCACTTTAAAAAATAGGCATAAATAATAAATTGAACATCATTAATCAAAATCACCAACAAAATTAGAATACTGTTAGTTACTATTAGCTTAATGGTCATTATGACCTCAACCGATAATCAAATCAAGATCACGCATAAGCAGTTATATATTACAGCGATAATTTCAGAGCATTCAGATCAACAGTCTTTACATTTTAGACACAGTCTTTATTCCCAAAATCTGGAAAACCTGTTCCATGATTAGGGCCGTACATTCGCAGAGAACCAGTCGATGCATGTGTATAATAACTTCGCCGTTTGCTTTTTTCTCAATACAGTAGCAGTTGTCGTAGAATTCCGAAAAAGTCGTGCAAAGCTGGTACATATAATCACACAAGTAATGGATATGAAGATCAACAAGGGTTCGCTTGACCGAATCAGCGAACATGATCAGCATTTTGCCTAACTTCCTCTCTTTTTCACCAGTAAATGTCAACACATTGTCTTTTGCGTACTGCTGTACTTGTTCAACCGATACGTTCGCTTTTCGTCTAATTGACCTGATTCGGGTGAGCGCATACAGAAGATAAACAGCAGTGTTGCCTTTATCGTCGAGCATTCGGTCGAACGAGAACACATAATCGTGCACGTAATTGTGGCTCAAATCAGCGTATTTTACGCATCCGTAAGCCACCGCTTCCTGCGCACGTTTCAACTCTTCCGGCGTCAATTCCTTGTCCCGCCCCTTTTCAATCAAAGTGTCCATTGCTCGCTTCATTCCTTCGTCCAGCAATTCGGTCAGTTTAATCGTGGTTCCTGACCTGCTTTTGAACTTCTTTTTATCCTCCCCCAACACAACCCCGAAGCCTACATGTTGCAACCTCATCACATACGGATCGTACCAACCTGCCATTCGTGCAGCGGCAAAAAATGTGTTGAAATGTAGCGACTGGCCTGAATCCACGACATACACTATCCACTCGGCGTTCTCGGTTTTGATTCGCTGACGAACAGCTGCTAAATCAGATGTATCGTACGTATACCCGCCGTCAGACTTCACGACAGTCAAAGGCACTTCGGCTCCTGGAACGAAGAACAGCGTTCGGCCCTCGTCTTCAACTAAGAGGCTCTTTTTTCTCAACTCTGCAACTGTTTCATCCATGAGCTGCTGGTAAAAGCTCTCTCCCCTTGCAATAATATTGATATCAAGCCTTTCATAGATCTTCTCAAAATCAAGTTTCGATACTTCACAAATCATTTGCCAAGCTTTATACACTGGTGGATCATACTTTTGTAGTTTCACTACCAATTCATAAGCACGCTTCTTGAAGTCTTCTTCCTCGTCGAAACGTTTTTTAGCTTCTCTGTAAAAAGTCTGAAGATCTTTCAAGGGCGGCGACACTGTCAAATAATCGGGAAACTTGTCCTCTAGATGAGCGATTAACATTCCAAATTGTGTTCCCCAGTCTCCTAAATGATTCAACCTCAATACATCGTGACCGACCCATTCCAGTAGCCTACAGATACTGTCTCCAATTATGGTTGACCTCAAATGACCTACATGCATTTCTTTAGCTATGTTCGGAGACGAGAAATCAACAATCACTCGTTTCTTGTCCACCACTGGGGGTTTTGCTTTTTCATGCATCACTAAACTTCTAACAAATGAATCAATAACGTTTGTTTTCACGTTGATATTTATGTATCCTGGTCCCGCAATTTCAACTGAGTCTATCACGTCGTTTTGAGGCACATATTTGATGACAGTCTGGGAAATAACTCTGGGATTCAAATTTTTTCCCTGTTTTTTGAATTCACCGACTAACGATAAAGCGTCGTTACATTGAAAATCCGCAAACTTATCTGAAGAAACTACCTTTGCTTCAAAATTCAGCAACTCGGGAAAAGAAGTTCTGAATGCTGTTGTAATCAAACAAGTCAGTTTTTCTGATATGGTCAAATTCGTTTCCACTTCTAAGCTTCGTTCTAAGTGCTTCTTTCTGTATTTAAGTTTTTCATTTTCGGTTTCAAGAGTGGCAAGATCTTTGGGAGGATCAGCGATTATGCCTTCTTCTAACTCATCAACTTGGCGATTCAGAGAGTCGATTTGTTCTTCAAAAGATTGCCAAGGTTGCTCCGAGGAGTCCCCGGTTGAAGCTGCTGCCATCTAACACAATCTGAATCAAATGCAAAAAGTAATCGATATCACTGAAAATGCTTAGTTAACTTGAGTTGAGTCACTGTAACTTTCGGAGGTTTAACACATCAAAAGCAGCCACAATTATTTGGCTTTTAGTTTTAGTTTAGCCGAGCACTGATACTAAAAATAATAAAGCAAAAGCGCTTCTGGTCAACGATGAAACAAATACCTGAGACTAAAACTACACGCGACTGGCCGTTAGTGAAAACACTTCAAGCGAAAGAATTTTATTAATGATTCTTCGCATGAATTATTGAGTAAATTTTAATTCAAAAATCAATGAAGCTAGGCATCGGAAAGAGCACAACGAGCTATGATCAAGAGATTTGTTGCCAATATATATAATTGAATACAAGGCAACAGAATACAAGGAAGTAGATTTAAAAGCAAAATCAATCAACTTCAAGCTCTATGAATTTCAAGAATCAATATTTTTGATTACAATAAGCCAGTTCAAGCAAACTGGACCCATAAGTACTTTTTAATCTTGGAAATCTAAAATTAAAATCCCGTTTGCATTTTTTGTTCTTGGAGAGCGTATATACGCTCTCCACGAACAAAAATGCAAACGGGATTTTAATTTTAGATTTCCAAGATTTAAAAAATTCACTTCTGATTGCCAAATTTAAGGCAAAATATTGTCTGAAGTTGAACAGAAATTAAAAGTAGAAAAAGAATTTGCTAATCATTGAACAAAGTGAGGCACTTATTTTGGTCTGGTAGTTTTAGTGATCACGAAAAAGTCTCAAGAGTTGCGTTCACAAATTTTTGCAATTTCAATGAATTGGCTTTAATGAGCTACAATTGGCATAAAAATTCCATTCAATTATTATTTTCAACCTTCAAATCCGCTTTGCTACCTTTAGACATCGAAAAAAATTTGACCACTTATATACCATGAAAAAAAAACACCTAAGATCCACAGGTTATATCAAAAATAATAGCTTCGCGCGACATCCACTTTTATTTTTAAAAAAAATCAGCTATACTGATTGAATTTGAAAACCTATTCTGCGAGCAAACCCGCCTGATCAAAATTAATAAATCTTACACAAGCCAAGCTTCGCACAACATGTGATAAAAAATGATATGTAAAAAAATATGAAAAACTTTAAACCGACTACACCTAGTTTACTGTATAAGCAACTGCTTTGAAGCAATCCAGGTTCAAGACTTCAAACAACAAAGCAAACTACTCACCCTCCGAAAACAGTTAAAGAAATTTCGATTGTATTGCGTTAACAAACTTCTGTTTATCCGATGTCACTTGGTGCCAGATAGTCGACAGACCCGTCGGGAAACTCAGCTTTGTATTTTTTGAATCAAATGTTGAAGTAGATTTTATGACCAATGAACCAGCCATTGTCAAATTATCTAGTTTAAAAATAGCATGTAAAACAGTTAAAATTTTGAAAAAGTTTCAGCAAGTTTAAAAATTAGCAACTCGTAAGCAAACTTGAGCCTTTAAGATCATTTTTTTTTATCCACGCGGGATAGGACCAACATACGAGCTGTACAGCTCATCACGGCGAACCGCTGTTGTGCCCCTGCTTAAGAACTACATGCAATTTTTTTGGTTATTTGCCTGAATTCGGGAAAAAAAAGCCTCGTCAATCTGGTTGTTGCTTATAAACTGGGTGTATTTATAACATAGTAACGTATTTTTCAAAAAATATATAAAATAGCCACGATCAATCTATTCTCTATTACACTTTGAAACCATGAAAAAACTCAAAACAGGTACAGTTGAGGGAATTTTTATGAGGAAAAAAAACAAGGAACATTTTTTTAGATCGCATGAGATACAAAGCTCCTTTCATTGCTATTTTGTGACTAAGAGTATTAGGAAAAAATATATAAAAGACTAAGAACGTTTTCAATAGTATATTCAAAAGAAATAAAGGGATTTCTAGCATTGGGTTTTTTAGCAGACCCGTTTTTGTGCGCTGACTGATGTCTAAGCAGAATCAAAACAAGTAGGTCAAAACGCTAATTTCAAACGCGGTATTGGCAAGCGACCACTTGCTCCGCTGCGCTTCGATTCGGCACAACTCGTATTGTGCGCGTCGACCTGAGTTTGTCGGTTATTTATACCTGTCTGTTTTTGAAGTTGATTAGGTTTTTTTTCACAAACCGAGAGATAATTGTCTTAGCTAGAGAAGCTGAACCCAAAACTTAGCAGTCTCTGCCATGAGACTGTTTTCTTTTTTTTGTACTTCAGATTGGCGTGCTACAAAACCGGCCCCTTCTAGCCTCATTCCACTAATGTATTGCTATTGAGCCGAGAACTTGAGAAATTTGAAACTCGAGAATTCAAATTCAAACTGCTAATGCAAATTCCCCCTGCCCTACCTCAAGAACAAATCAAAACGATTTAAAAGTTTCATTTTACCTGATTTTTACCTGTCGGTAGGAGATATCGAACGGAACCAAATCAGGACTCTGTCAATTAGACTTCAGTTTTTATTAAAGAAACTAACAATTCGCCACAAGAAAGAAACTCTAGTAACTAATTTGAGCAAGTAGAAAATCGTAGATTTACGATATATAATGATTTATTAAACCCTTATTTAGACAGGCTAACTCCGATAGTCTTCGAAGGACAAACATTTCGCAATATTGCGCAACTGAACAAAGAATCTGATTGCACGAAACCTGTCGACTTATGAAAGATGTGAACTCGATATTGGTACGCAATCTAGTCAAAAGTTGCGTCAGCTAAAGCATATCTTTCATGATATCAATAAATTTTTTGACTACTCTTACAAACCAATTGCAAAAGAGTGCCATAATTTGTTCAGCTCTTTCCCGCTTTTTCACCCTCCCAAAATACCAATTAAAACTAGCTTCAAAATTATTCATACGACAAATTGCATGAAACAAGTATCGTAGAAATCTGTTCACTTATTCACCCTGACTCGTTTTAATGCTGTTAAGAACATCAGAAATCACTTTCAATAGACTTTTTAACATCAAATTTCACAAAAAAATCAAAGGGCGAACTGGAAAAAAGCCCGTAAAATTAAATCTGATAAAAACTTTTTCTCAATGGACTAAAAGGGAATGAACTAACAATATATTCAGAAAAAAACAACATAAATAGAAATCAACATTCAACTATTGCAACCCCTGAACATTGTCTTCTTCCTGTTTCAACTCCTCTTGAATTGCGGACAGTTTCATTTTCAGAGCATCAATGCCTTTCATCACTATACTCTCCGGTGCAAGTGCTCCACATGACTCGACGTTGTAGAAAAACTTATTCGCTCTCCCATTCGGAACGTACTCGCCTTGGGCCGACTCGAAATCCTCGGGAAGCGAAGTGTTCTCGCTTTTCGGCCATTCGGTTGGCTTCGGGTAAGTTGTGTGTCGCAAAGTGTTATCTGGGTCATATTCGAACGAAACAGCAGTAGTTGCCATCCATTTGGCATGTTCTTTAGCGAACCCTTTTCGAGCAAATGCTTTCAGTTTGAGCTCTTGACCCTTCCTCAATTTAACAATGAGGATGTCCTGGTCACGATGATAGGAGGATGTATCGTTCTCAGACCTTCTGGATGTCACCGGAACAACCTAAGCGCAAAATTTCTCACTTGATATCAACAAAAATAAGTTGAAACTAGCAAGTCCGCCATCTTCAACAATCAATTGGCTCGGAAAAATTAGTTATTGCTTTCATCAAGCTATTCAATCTATGAAACTAAAAACAATTTCAAATCAACCCATATCGTAAATCGATTTTAAAGATTACAAATTTCAAAAAACGAACTGGTCCGCGAAAAGTTGAAGTTTTTTTACACTAGCCGGCCCAGCTATAAAAGTTTGAAATATTTCAAGTGAATTCGTGAAGCGATTTGGATGGCAACAATTTTAAGTTTTTCCAAGCAAGCCTTTCCAGCTATGAAACTTTGACATATTTCAAATTATCTCATAGAACGAATCGGTTTTCGAAAAAATCAACTTTTTCTGCACAAGATAATCAAGATATGATTGTTTGAACACAGGCGAAGCTGAGTTTTGCAACACTTGCGATACAAATATGAATGACTATGAATATAAACAACCGGGAAAAAAAGCTTCAAAAAATTTTTTTGCAATAAAAATTGCAACAAAAGCCCAAAATATCCTGAACAAAATTGCCTGCACCAATAGAAACTCTACAAAGAGCTTCGGGCATGTTATAACGAAGCCAAATGCTCTAAAAAAAGTCCTTTCGGCCAAACTAAGCAGACAAAGATAAGCAGACAGACAATAATCTAAATTAGCCAAAATTTTCTAATTTCAAAAAACGGTTCTCAACTGAAATCGAACTCCCGGGCTTTGTCGTCTCAAGCATGGGGGTTACAGCAACTGGTAATAAAGCTGAACCAACGAGCTACGGGAACTCAGCCAACAAACATAAACAGAAGGACAATAATCCGGAAAAACACAAAACTCGAGTTTGCAAAAAAACGGGGGTGGCCGGATTCGAAACCCAAGCCTTTGCCGTCCCAAGCAAATGTTTCCCTCCCCTCTACGCCAGATGCTTCGGATGGTTGATTGGATTTTAATTTTTAATTACCAAGCGGTAACAAAGCCGACAATATCTGAGTAGAAACCCTTTAGTGCCTTTTACCCTCAGAACACACACACGCTCACAAAAATTTTCTCCAGTCGAAACGATGCAATAAGAGGCCAAAGTTGCAATAACAGGTAAGAAGTTAATATTAATTAAGCCGAGAAAAAGCCAAAAATGAATAAAAAAATTGAAATTGTATTAAAACGAGCTGGTAAAAATACAATTAATGCGAAAAGCAAATTTCAATTCGGCCGGATTTTAAAATGCTATGAGCATGGACAAAATTGTTTACGGTGAAAAGTCTAGTACCTGATTGCAATACTATTGCTTATCGCAAGGGTAATTAAGCGGATATTGAGCAGACAAAACTTGGGTAGACGACTGCTGATCTGAAAGAAAAACAAAACTGCGCTGTAAAACATTTTGAGCCAAAAAAAACATAAGTTTTACGCCCACCGCCCACAACCCCCACCTGCCCTTATATATGGAACGGGCATTTAAAATGCAGACATGCTCAAAAAAATTGTTGACAGGTATTCTGATAATCTGTTGACAACTGAGTTAACTGATTCAACTGATTATTTTAAACTAGTTGTTAACTAGAAATCAAGTCTAAATTCCAGTTTGATAACGCTTGCTAATCGCAAGCGTAAATATTTCATGAACAGAATTGGCAGGTGATGTTTAGATTTTTCTATTGGAGCCATTTAACCAATGAAATTTTGTTAAAAACTTTTAAATCATTCCAAAAATTGAATCGGATCTTGTGTTATAAGCAAGCTATTCCAGCTATGAAACTTTAAAATATTTGAAGTCGTATCATGGAGCAAACCAGTTTCTGTTAGTTTTTCTAGCAAGCTTTTCATCCGATGAAACTTTCAAATACTTTAAGTATTTTCATAAAGCGAACCAAATGCCGAAATGATAAAGTGTTTCTAAGCAAGCTACTTCAGCTAAGAATCTTTAAAATATTTCAAAATGTTCCTTAGGCCGAACCGAATAAAAGTTTTTGCTTAAGCCATTCAAGCTATGATAGTTTGAAACATTTCAAGTTCTTTCACAGAGCTGATTGGGTGGCAAAAATTAAGTTTTTGTAAGAAAGTTATTAGTTATGAAACTTTGAAACATTCCAAGTTATTTCAGGCAGCAAATCGGGTGGCAAAAATTTAATTATTTTCTGTTGATACCATTCATGTTATCCATTCAAGTTATGGAACATCAATATTTCACTTCATAGACTGAATCAGCTCGCAATAAATTCAAGATTTTTAAGCAAGCAATTCAAGCTTTTCACTTTTACTCAAAAAATATTTCGTCTTTCTCAGACCGAATCGTTTTGCGAAAACTTGAAAATTTTTCATTTAAGTTCTTCAAGCTATTAAGCTATGATACTTTTCATTTCAAGTTATTTCATAGAGCTAATCGGATGACAAGTTAAATTGCTCCAAGCAAGCTATTAGTTATGTAACTTTGAAACATTAGTATTTCAGTAGCAATTGATGACAAGTTAAATTGCTCCAAGCAAGCTATTAGTTATGTAACTTTGAAACATTAGTATTTCAGTAGCCATTCAATTGATGAAACGTTATTATTTCAAACTGTTTCACAGAGCAAATCAGATGAAGAAAAGTTCAAGTTTATCTTAACCCAGCAAATGGAGCTATGAAAATTTGAACATTTCAAACTAGGGACCCAGCTGAAAGATGGAGAGACCTGTTTGATTATTTTAAAATTGTTTTAAAATTTCAGGTTTCTCAAGTCGATAGCGCCCTTCCTACGCAAAAAAAGTGAAAGAGAAGCTTATGCATTCATTGGTAACGCTTTGGTAAAAAGTTTTCATGAGAGAACTTTTCAAGTCCATAGGTGTTTCCCTAATTGTAGGGGGTTCCTACAACCTGGTCTATCGATTAAACCCTTAATCCCAAATCTGGACGGGTAGTTTTTGAGGAAATCGGAAAGATTTGAAAAAAGGCCAAAAAAGTCAAAAAAGTGACTTTTCCTAAGTCTATAGCTCTTCCCCTAGGCAAGTTAAGGACCAGCCGCTTGTGCGGGGGAGTTTCCTACAACCTGGTCTATCGATTAAACCCTTAATGCCAAATCTGGACGGGTAGTTTTTGAGGAAATCGGAAAGATTTGAAAAAAGGCCAAAAAAGTCAAAACAGTGACTTTTCCTAAGTCTAAAGCTCTTCCCCTAGGCAAGTTAAGGACCAGCCGCTTTTGCGGGGGAGTTTCCTACAATCTGGTCTATCGATTAAACCCTTAATTCCAAATCTGGATGGGTAGTTTTTGAGGAAATCGATAATTTCCGAAAAAATAGGCAAAAAAATCGAAAAAGTGACTTTTCCTAAGTCTATAGCTCTTCCCCTAGGCAAGTTAAGGACCAGCCGCTTGTGCGGGGGAGTTTCCTACAACCTGGTCTATCGATTAAACCCTTAATTCCAAATCTGGATGCGTAGTTTTTGAGGAAATCGATAATTTCCGAAAAAGTAGGCAAAAAAATCAAAAAAGTGACTTTTCCTAAGTCTATAGCTCTTCCCCTAGGCAAGTTAAGGACCAGCCGCTTTTGCGGGGGAGTTTCCTACAATCTGGTCTATCGATTAAACCCTTAATTCCAAATCTGGATGGGTAGTTTTTGAGGAAATCGATAATTTCCGAAAAAATAGGCAAAAAAATCGAAAAAGTGACTTTTCCTAAGTCTATAGCTCTTCCCCTAGGCAAGTTAAGGACCAGCCGCTTGTGCGGGGGAGTTTCCTACAACCTGGTCTATCGATTAAACCCTTAATTCCAAATCTGGATGGGTAGTTTTTGAGGAAATCGATAATTTCCGAAAAAGTAGGCAAAAAAATCAAAAAAGTGACTTTTCCTAAGTCTATAGCTCTTCCCCTAAGCAAATTAGGGACCAGCCGCTTGTGCATGGGAGTTTCCTACAACCTGGTCTATCGATTAAACCCTTAATCCCAAATCTGGACGGGTAGTTTTTGAGGAAATCGAAAATTTCCGAAAAAATGGGCAAAAAGTGAAAAAAGTACCGAGTTGTGAAGCTTTTCTAAGACCGTAGGGGGTGGGGTAGGGTAAAAATTGCCCTAAATTTCATGCAGGCAGGTAGGTAAAACGCTACTGAATCCATTGGTACCACTTTTATGAGAATCTGACGTGTAGTTTTTTGCGAAAGCGAATTTTTCGAAAAAGCGTCTCAAAAAAATAATAATAATAAAAAAAAAAAAAAAAAAAAACCAGATCTCATCTGGAAAAAAAAACGTTTTCATAATAACTGTTTAATAAATCAAACAGGAATTATTTCACAGATCGCATTGGTTAGCAAAAAAATGAGTTTTTCTTAGGCAGCATCACGAGCTTTAAAACGTCAAGTTATTTCACAGACCGAATCGCTTCGCGAAAAGTTGAGTTTTTCTAAGCAAGCTATGCAAGCAATGAAAATGAAAAAATTTTCACTCTGTTTTATAGATCAAATCTATTCGCAAAGTTTCCCTCAAGAAAGCTATTCAAGCTATGAAACTTAGACCGAAACTTAGACTAGTTACGAAAACTTGAAAGATGTCAAGTTGTTCACACAGAGGCGAAGCAGTAGGTCGCAGATCATCGAATCCTAGACCTAGCCGAACTGTTGAAGCCTTTTAATGGCTAAAGCATCACTTCGCAAACACTAGCGAGAACACGACACAAAACTGCTCTAGAAAGAGCAGTAAGAAAATAAAATAAACTAGCGTGTAACGCGTCTCCGGTGCTTCGAATTTTCAACAAATCAAAAAAAAATATTCTTTGAGTGTACTGTGACAGCACCCAATTAAAGGGTTCGTAATTACAAATTTTGCAATGTTTTAATTCGAATTTTTTTACACAAGTTTTTTACACTAATTTTGAAGAACTATAAAATGCTGTGAAGTTTAATATAATTCTTCGAAAAATTTAAAATGAACTAAGAAACGTCAAATCTGGGAAACTGAAAGCAATTGAGCAGTCGCATTTGGACGCAAGATTTGCAACTCCTGAGAAT